TGCAGGTTAACATATACGTGATGTCAAAATGATTTACTAAATAGTAGTTACTGTTTGCTCATTTTTACAGGGTTGGGTGTGGCCTAATGGATAGCGTGCTTGGACTCTGAATCCGGGGAACCCTGATTCGCTGTCAAGTGTGGCAAAAAAAAAAAACACGCTCTGCACTCTGGGACCGTAGGTGCGCTACAAGACTGGCGGTCAAATCTGACTATTCAGTCAGAGTAGCTGAAGATTTGGTGGTTGGTGCTCTTGTATAGCTGCCTTTCCTTAGTTCATCAGTTTAAAATTATCTTGGAAGGAACAGAATTGGAAATCAAAAACGTCGACGTAGTAAAATCTGAACTTCCATGATTTTCACTATCTTAGAATTGATATGACAATTATGTTAATTTTGTTAGGAATATCTTAAAACTATATTTCGACAATCCCTCGCATAAAAATGTGACAGTTCAGTACATATCGAAGAGTGCACTAGCACTCTCTATGTAGGGATGGCACGGACGTTTGTATTAAATCAATGCAAAAGTCACCTAGAATTTTTTCTCTATAGGTCATCAAAAGCTACATATGAAGAGCTACCTGGAATAGTCGCTCTATCTCCAGTGTATATGCTGCTTTTCAGCTATCCAGAGCATCCCGAAGTCGAAATCCGACGAATAGCCACAACCGAAATTTCTTATTTTCATTCATCACCATCTTTCTTCAACAGGCCTAGCACTTACCTAGTTCTAGCTGTTCATTTAATAGAGCAAAACAGCCTTCACGATCTTTGACTACATAATTTATTATTATTCAATAGAAAATTCATATTATAACCTAGTAACTCACGTACGCCATCTTATAAAAAAAAGTAAACAACAAGTATTAGGAAAAATGATCGCTAAATAAAAAACACTATGTAGGTTGGCTACTGAACTTGAAAAAGGAACCAAACACGATAAGGATAGAAGTGGACATATAACTTGATCAGCTAATGGTCACATAGCAGACTAAGCTGTCTCGATTTTACATGGAGAATAAAATCCCTACATTACTGACTTCCTCACTGTCAAAACAAATAGAACCAGAATTTCCAATCGTAAAATTTTAATCTATTGTAAAGTAGTCATAAAAGTAGTAATCTAAAGTTAACTAAAGGAAAGATATAATGATGAAAGCTGATATTCTATTCAAACACCAAGCTCTCGACAGACAAAGTGGGGAAGCCAGTAATATAGGGATTTTATTCTTCGTGTAAAGTCGAGACGGCTTAGTCTGCTATGTGATCATTAACCGGATCAAGTTATATGTCCACTTCCATCCCTATCTTGTTTGGTTTTTTTTGTTTTCAAGCTCAGTAGCCAGCCCTACATAATTTTTTTTTTCATTTAGCGATATTTTTTTCCTAATACTTGTTCACGTAGAAATGACAATAAATGAAATCATTGCAATTTCATTGTAGGATTGATTGAAAATCAAATAATCTAACATGTATATCTTTATTTACAAACTTAAGTACTTTTTTTTGTCTTTTCTTTCGATCTTTTCGGAGCCCGTTAGGAGGAAATCTAACGCTTTTGTGTAAAGTACTTGAGTTATGTATACAAGTGAACCACGAACGTATAAATGTTATGTTATCCAGCACAATGCAAGCGAGTTCACTAAGCAGAACCTCATAAAACTCTTCGTTATTACACAGGTTTTCTCGTAGACAGTCTTATTAGTAAAAAAAGAAAAACAAGTTAAGCATTTGTTTCCTTTTGCCAATAATAGCTAGTAACTAGTTACTATGACCTATGTTTTCTTCACCTAAATCATACTATATTGAAAACTGAAAATGAATTGATTTTTAAGACTTATAATAAGCTAGATAACTTTCTGACTACACACAGACCAATCACTTGTACTCTTATCAATGATACAAATGGAAACATACACATAAATTTCGACTTATGTTTCCGAGTGTGAATATTCACTTTTCATGTGAATCAACCTGTACTGTACTGTATAACTACTGAAAAGTTATTTACTTATTGTTCATGTATATTGAAAAAAACTTAAATTACACTCGTATAGTTTCAAAAAGCATCTTTTAAAGAAAGGTTGTTAGAACTAACATCAGTTCCGAAAAAAAAAATGCTGATTATGAATAGTGGTAAGTTGATAGTGATCTACTTACACAGTTTGTTTGTACTTCAAAATATCCAGAAGTGAAATCTGGAAACTAATTATTATAACTTATTGTTAGTCTAATTATTTGAATTAGAATACCGAAAACTGTTTCTTATATTTACTAACCAGAGAAACAGGAGATTTGTTTCTTACATGAACATCATAGAAACTGTAGTTTCTAGATAAAATTTATACCTTGGTTCTTACACAAAATTCTGATAGACAAGTTATAAGTATCTCAAATCTTTAGCGGATAGCTAGATGTTTTTTCTTACTCGCATATTCAAACAAAAAATCTTATAACCAGAATTTTCAGTAAACTTTTTGTTCGCAACATACCGAAGGGTGAAAATTATCACGTAACTTACTCGCAAATTCAAACAAAAAATCTTATAACCAGAATTTTCAGTAAACTTTTTGTTCGCAACATACCGAAGGGAGAAAATTATCACGTAATATTTCAGCAATGACTGACACTTCTGCCGTGAATCTAAATATTTATAACCAGAATTGGCAGGATATTACTATGAAGTCTCCTGCGATAACCCTTTTCTGCTTCTATGGATTATAGGTTACAATCTCGTGTAATAATCATTCTTACTTTTGGTATGAACATGAGAAGCAAGGTCGGAATATCTGTTGAATACTTTTCTATAATGAATTCTGGCCAGGTGGTTAAGGCACTCGACTCGCAATCTGAGGGTCACACCAAACATGCTCGCCCTTTTAGCCGTGGGGGCGTTATAATGTGACGGTCAATCGCACTATTCGTTGGTAAAAGAGTAGCCCAAGAGTTGGCGGTGGGTGGTGATGACTAGCTGCCTTCCCTCTAGTCTTACACTGCTAAATTAGGGACGGCTAGCGCAGATAGCCCTCGTGTAGCTTTGCGCGAAATTCAAAAACAAAACAAAAACAAAACTATAATGAATTCTATTCCATAATAGGGTTGTTACTGTAACTCTTGATGAGCAAAGCACAGTGTTTCAAGTTATGTTTGTATGTATAGGTATTAATGTACAGTTTTGGGTAATAATGTACGAAATGAATGGTCAAATACTAATAAGACCGTGTTTTCCAAACTGATGGTGGGGCGCGGCCTTTTGGCGGGAGAACCCAAAAATAATGACGGAAAAACAGAAGAGTTTAAGACGACGATAACCTAACAAAACTATCACTTTGATCTCAAAGCATTTTTTTTTTCTTAGCCCTTGGACACACACACACACACACACACACACACACACACACACACACACACACACACACACACTACTACTAACTAACTTATTTATAAATTAAAATTAATAAACGAAGTAATAAGTAATTAGTTAGTTATTTACGTACTTACGTTAACTACGTTAGTACTTAAT